GCACTTTTTTGTAAGTGTTCATTTCCAAAAAATGGACTCTGGCAGGACCATGGTACAATACTGGTATCAGATGGTAATACTATGGTACTTTAAAATATATGGGACTGAAATATGCATCGGATCCCTCTTTCAGTATCTGGATTTTATCACTCGACTGCAAATATTAATGCAAATTAGCATTTGCACTGACAGTTTCACCATCAGTGTTTAATTTGACTGGAGAGCAGAAACAGGGCTGACAGGCCTCCATCTAGTTTGGCCGTCTCTTCATGGCGTTTGAGCAGCTGCTATAATATTTACTTAGGAGCCAGATTGACTTTTCTCAGAAATCAATAAGTGCTTTGACTGTGCTGAATATCTGCTACGCTGGGCTGAACCTGCATGGTAATGGCTTCTCTGTAACGCTCCAATAACAAAACATACACCTCTCTCTGTTTCTCCTTCAAACTCTTCCAATCAATCCTCGTGCCTTTAGCCATCGCTCACGCTCTCTCCTCCAAATCTTCACCTTCTCCCGCCGTCCTTCGCTAACGTGTGTATACATACGTTATAATAGAGGTGTGTTAATAATTCATGTCAGAGCAATTGGAGACAATTAAGTGATTGACTGGGTCATTTATTTTCCAGTCAGAGTCAGAGTTGATGTAGAGAGTGTCAGAGTGCCGATCACCTCCACCAAACATCTCTTCAAAAGCTCAACTGTTTCTCATAGACACCAATGAGATTAAATAAAGAACAGATGGAGACTTTTTCGTAAGTGTCCTGATTTTTCTCCTTAAAGGAATAGATAGGGACCTAAAAATGAAAAATCTGTCATCATTTACTGACCCTCATGTTGCTCCAAATCTAGATGAATGTCTTTCTTTTGTTGAACACGAAAGAAGATATTTTGAAGAATGTTGTAATCAAACAGTTGCTGGTAGCCATTGACTTCCACAGTATGGAAAAAATACTCTGGAAATGAATGGGGACCAGAAACTGTTTGTTTACCAACATTCTTCAAAACATCATCTTTTGTACAACTCGAGTGTAAAAAAAAAAAATGACGGCAGGTTGTTCATTTTTGAGTGAACTATCCCTTTAAAAAAGGCAATAAATGTCACACTTGTCTTTCCTTTAACTTTAGAAATGATCTAAACAATGCCTCTGTTGTCTACAATTAAAAGTTAGTGATATCTATGAATACTGAGAAATAATTCTTCATTCAGCTCTTTTGATGTTTTATGTTTTATATATTATGTCCATTTGTTTACATTTCTAAAGTTCAAATAAATATATAAAATATTCCCTTACACATTATGAAAGTAATAAGTTTTAAAATGCTAAAATGTTTAAAATGTTATATAATGTTAAAAATGACTTAATTGTGCATTCATTTGTACATTATATAAAGTACTGTATGTATCCTGGAAAATACTTGTTTTTAAACACTAGGTAAAAATATGTTTTCACCAGTTATTAAATTGTTAAACAGTTCAAATAACTATAAAATATAAAATATTGCCTTAAACTACTTAAATACTACCTTTAAAAAAATGTTTTAAAATAATATGTTTCAAAATTGTAAAAAAAACAAACAAAAAAAAAGTTTAAAAATATGTAAAAACTATTTAACTGTGCATTTAATTGCCCATTAATTATGAAATATTTTAAATATATTTTTTTCATCAGTTTAAAAATATTTTTCACCAGTTTACATACCAGCTTAACATGTAAAATATTAAATATTGCCTTAAAATAATAAAAAAAAATACATACACATGTGTATATATATATATATATATATATATATATATATCTGGCAATTGCACATCTAGACAGACAGACAGATAGATTATTATATTTATTATATTCACAGCTTAAAATCATTTGAGTTCTCACAAATAACTACATTTATAATTAAAATGGAAGTGTTCAAGAAAAAGGCCTTTATATGTAAACCTGTGTAATAGTTGCTAATAGATGCTTAACAGTGACTTTACATCACAGCTATCACTATATTATCTTTAGCTTGACCGTGATGCTATATTAACCAATCAGCATCCAGCACCAGACCTATCCATTTTGTAAAGGCACAGTATATTAAAAGTTTCCTCCAAACTCCTGCTCTGGCGTCTTTGAGACATTAGCTGAGCTAAGCAGCAGGCTGTTATTTGAGTGGTCAAGCCGTGCAAAGAGTGTAATACACAATGACAGCGTGTTGACCATAATCATGCAAACTTGACCTGACACATCCCGACTCCCCCTGCTGCCACGGCCTGCCAATCAGCAGAGCGGAGCGCAGGTTGCCAAGCAACAGTCTGAGAAACAGCTCCGGCGCCGTGTGTGGGGGTTAAAGAGCAGCGGGCAGACGGCTACTGTGACACATGCATAGACGCCAGTGCTGCTGCTACAAATGTGTCTGAAGCTAAAATCTGTAATAACTGCAAAGAGACATTCAGCATTCACACTCAGAGTAATTGTCCTCTGCCATCTTTGCTCACCTGCTCCAATTTATTTGGAGTGAATCACCGGAGCTCTAAATGCCATGTGACTAATCTTCCTAGAGGCACAGGAAATGACATCTTTTAAGAGCCATGCAAAATAAATGTCATTAGTAAAAAAAGTGTACTATAAAATAATGAAACATCAAGCTTTTAGAGAATAGGTGCAACAGCAATATTACAAAATACATCTATGTTTAGTAAATAATAAACTTATTTAAATGAAAGGATACAGGCTACAGCGCGCGCCGGCGCCCTTGTGCATGCAATTGAAGAGCACAAGCTGTGAGCACAGTACCGTTTCCGCGCTCGCTTGACTCGCGTCTGGCGCTGAAGTGAAGAGGAGCGCGCGTCGGAAATGTCTCCCGTTCTCAGTCATTCTGCGACTGAATAAATGCACTTCTTGTCAAGAGAAAAAGTGACAGAAGCAGCAGTTGTGAGG